GCTTAAAACATAGAAATATCCATCGAAGTTTACAGACCGTGGCAGAATTATGTTACCAAGTCTTTGCTGACCATGGGTGGCCAGGTATACTGTGCACTGATAACGGTAGCGAGTTCTGCGATGACGTAATGGAATCGTTCGTACTCGTATCAGGCATGTGCCATAAAAGGGGTGTACAATATAAACTACACACACAAGGCGCTAATGAAACGCGCCACAGAAAACTTAAGTTCTTCTTACGTACTATATTAAGGGATGATGCAGATGATTGACCGTACCACCTTAAGTGGGTACAAACACAGATGAACGAGTGTGCTGATCCGGTTACAGGTACAACATCCGCTCACTATTTTCGTGGCAGATATAGTGAGTTACAAATACCTTTTAACAAGGACGAACCTAATCACCATGAGTTGCAATGGTTAGAGAAGGTACAACGCATACACAACGTTGTATATCCTCGAGAGACACGTAATGTGGCCTTATTAAAAAGGCAAAAAAAAATGGAATGCTACCAAGAAGATAGCAGAGAATCAGGTGGGAGACCTTCAACGTAATTCCGATGCTACTGTACTAACATCGAAATGGATACGACCATATATAATCTCTGTAGCTGACACTAAAAGTGGAACCTATGAGGTTAATAACCCCGACGGTTCTAGTGCACTAAATATAGCCGCCAGTACCCGAACACCTTTTGACGAAAGTGGTGGGCCGCCCGATGCCGGACAAAACTCTTCATGAAATGGATGGAATAACTTCGGTATGGCTCTTCTTCCAAGCAATTTTCCCTGACGGCAAACCCCCATCCCAATCAGTATTTGAAAAATACTGGCATGCCCAACCAGCCCTCAATCGCCACCACTTTCTCTGGTATCTTCCGTCTAAATCGGTATCTCAACCAAATCGCCGCGGAAGCTCCACCAGTTTCATCCGCCTTTGTGTTCCTAGCGACTCTGTCGCCCAGGTGAAACGGCATGCAGCACTTACGTGGAAATGGCAGCTTGATGAAAACATGGACCCCCGCTCCCAACAACATCCCAACGCTACGAAAGCTGCTTTCATTCACTATCTCCGCACCAAGCGGGGAGGCCCGCTGCACACATGAACGAGCGCCAAAAATTCTTGCCCGCAGCATGGATGCACTACTGAGCCCACTTGTCAACTCCACTAACGCAGACATCCTCCAATCTACCGCAGACCGTCTCCAGAAGGCTTACCAAGCAAAGCATGATGCAAACCTCTTCTCACTTAACCCGCGAATCCCGGTAAACGCTAAATAATCAGCGCGTGCGGAACCCGGACGACTTCATGTACCAACGGTCTCCCCGACACAATCATCCGACACGATGGATAGCAATACGCAGCCTCAGCTTTCCACGACGGACTCTTCGACGACAGGCAATGATATAGAAATGGCTGACATCGTCAAAGAGGAGAGCCCAGTAGTATTGACCGATGATGAACAATGTTAGGACCAATGAGGATGACGCTCTTCAACCCACAAGGACTCAACATGGACAACGCAGCACATACAGATAAGTGTTTGAACGTTATATTGATTTTAAGTCAGGTTGATGTTATGTGTGTGGTTGAAACCTGGCATAACACAACATTTCTTAATCATATACGCAAGGAGAAAGTGTCGTATATTTTAGGGTTTTAGGGTTTTTGAGAAGATAAAGGCTGATGTGGAAGAGGAATCGAAGAAGGGATTGAAAAGGGCTGATGAAAATGAAGTGCGTGGTAAAGAGGCGCTGATAAGGGCAGAAGCTAAGGAGAAAAATAAAGAGGCTGATACGCTTGAGAGAAAAATAAAGCGAGCAATGGCAGCGGTGGAGATGGAGAAATAGCGACTCGGGGAAATTGCCGAGAAGAAGCAGAGCGAGAGTGATTTAGTTCAAAAGCGTGAAGGTGTCGGGCAAGCTAAACTTGCTAGCAAGGCTGCGTCAATCGTATTTGCCGCAGCAAAAGCACCACTCACTGAGAAGCAGGTAAAGCAAGTTTGCAAGTACACGGATGCCTTAAAGGATTGGGTAGCTTTTATTCTGTGCCAGAGATCAAACTTGAGTATGAGAATGATTTCATACAGAGAATTCAGGGGCAACGAGGGGAGGCATACACACAACGGATTCAATCACGAGTTGTTTTCATGCAGTTAGAATCTGATCCTAAGACTGAGAATGTAGGAGGTGCCGCTGTATTGGCAGTGCTTATGGATGATATCTTTCCAAATATGCTGAAGTGATCGAATGCTAGTTTGCGTTGATTGTATCCTCAGTGCTAGAAAGGACAACACAGTTACCAAATATGATTGCATACAATCCAGCCGACCACACACCAAAATGGGATAATGTGCAGTACACTCGGAAGTTCGAGACAGAGATGATTCGAAAGAGACAGCGACTCTCTAGGAGTACTCGATATTCACGCTTGATGATGAGCAGTGCGAATCCCGAGCACGTGATATCCCTAAGTAGAGCAAAGCGAATCGTATAGCAAAACTAATGATTTAAAAACTGACATGATTGCAGATGCAGCGTACTTTGTAATTTTTGGTGTACGCTATCATGAGCGTGAATATAACCAAGACGATTCTGGCAAGGATTTATTCGAAGGGATGAACCGGAGCTACACACTGGGTCAAGGCCAACAGGCATCGCAAAGGTAAGTTATTTGTTCTATATCAGTTTCACTACATCTATACATGTGTTGCAGTTTTGATAAAGTGCTTGTCTTTTGCTACCTATATGTTTCTGCAGATCGTGAGTACGGAAACGAAAAGTTGTGGACTATCTTATTAAATCAAGGACTGGGCTTGGTATTAATCCTTATTAGCAACCAATTTCTAGGCTATCCATGGTAGTCAATAGTGGCAAAAGGTCTCACATGTACCCACACGAGTCTCAAATAGCTAATGATCATTGTTAGGGCGATCTTACATATTGTGCGAGCAAAGTATTAAAAACTCAGAGCGGTGCCCCTGTAGAAGAAATGATGCAGTTGCGTTTGATATTGGATCGATGCCGCGTAAACGTGGGTATCAGGACGTGCCCACAGGTTTTCTGCGGCTTATCGCTGTGAGGTACAATAATGTTAATGATTCAAAGAGAGTATATGTGTACGTGCGCAAACCTAATATACAAGATGAAGTCATAGATCTCACATTGGTTTGGCCGGATAAATCTTGCACACGACCTCAGGCAACATGTCAGGTTATTAGCAGCGCAGCCATTGAAAACAGATTATCGTAAGTCTATCGGCATTAGTACCCAAGCATTCTAATAATGGCTAACATATCATAGTGGAGAATGTGTTGCACTACCACCTATATATCATGCTTTCGAATATAAGAACTTCAAAGCAGATGATATTGTATGTCACACACAAGAGTGTATACATATGAGTGGTATGTACTTGTGCCATATATATAGGCAGTACATACTATAGACGTAACAGCAGAATATAGTCCTGTTACTATAATCGGTGAGGATAAGCCTATCACCGGGTATGAAATTGCCAGTATGTATTCGGTACATACGCCTGTACGTCAACAACTGTTAGATTTACCTGCGTACTTAATCAAGTCAAACGAATCCAATCTATACATGTATATGACAGTATAATTACAGCACGAATATTGTGTGGGATACTATAATATTTGCTATGAGCCTTGGTCCAAAGTGTGGAGTAGTAAGTTACCTCTAGACCCCCTTCCGTTCAACGCACGTACTATTCATAGTGATATCCCATCGTTCAGCTATATGAACTAGATAATATTGCGCGCTTATGCGGTACAGAGAGGAATAGTAATTCCCACCCAGTTTACTACCAAAGACAATCTCGTAGCGCACTTGGCGCAAAATCTACACGTGCCTGGTACCATTCTCACTAGACGCATCATCCCTGAGATACCCAAGTCATTACTTCTACGTAGACGAGTGTTGGAAGCAGGCATTCTTGACTCCGCGACACAGCAGGCACGTGTTGTTGTCAGCAATGCTTGTATTCAGTCATACTTTTGATCAACTACATATAATTTACTTTTAACAACGTAAACAAGAACAGCGCGCCGTTGTGAAATTGAAAGTTACATATGAGCAGCTTAAAGACGATCCCAATCGTCAATTTTGTAAATTGATATACGATGGTGCGGCAATTACGCGCTCATACATGCATGACAAGATGTATGATGTTGTAGACCCTATTGAAGGATGTCATTGTATACTGCCATTGTCTGATGAGATAACTGCTAAGACAGACGAAGGGGAGGGGGAACAGAAGATACTCAAAGTATCGCCATGCCATAACCACACAAAATGTGTGCATATAAGAGCTTGTCTGGAATAGCTAACTAAATTAGGTGATCCAAGGCCCACCGACGGGGCGTGTTCATGGACAAAAGACCTAAAACTCGGAAGGTGAATCCCAATCAACATACAACAGTACTAGCAAAGGAGTTTGTGTCGTCTAGCAACGACTTCACTTGCACTGTCACTCGACACTATATCAACCGCTTTCGAATAGCTGTCACAGAGCCCCTAAAAAACCCTGTGTGTAGAAGAGAAAGATGAACTGAATGAGAGGTATCGATCAGCCAAAATAGATACATTTAGCGAAAGAAAAGTGAAAGAGAGGTCTAAAAATAGATCAGGTCTTATTGAGTAATGATGGGAACGACTACGGTTATTAAAACTTGACCATGTATTAACAATTATATAAGGTCCATACAGTCACTGTAATAACCGCTTTCGAATAGCTGTCTCAGAGCCCTAAAAAATCCTGCGTGTAGAAGAGAAAGATGAACTGTATAAGAAGTATCGATCAGCCAAAATAGCTATATATAGCGAAGAGAAACGAAAGAGAGGTCTAAAAATAGATCCGGTCTTATTGATTAGTGATGGGAACGACTACGGTCATTAAATCTTGACCATGTATCAACAATTATATAAGGGACATACAGTCATCCTCGTCGCTAAATAATCCATCAATATCAAAAAGTTCGTTATCAGCACCCAGAGCGACACTATTTTCGCCAGCTCTCGCTTTTTGATCGTTGTCTAACTACCAGTCTGTGATAGGGGCATTCAATTTAACAAACTCCCTCGCCACTTGTGCCTCATGATCACTCAAATCAATCTCAGAAAGCCTCTTGTTTCCGCCACTGAATCCTTTGATATTCCTGAATACTTCCATATTGCGTTCGATGTTTATTCGCTCCTTCGCTATGTCACGATCATTATCTGCCCGTTCACCACTGAAAGCAAGCTGTCCCTTTTGACGCTTTCTCGGTGTGAACACCAGTATTTCTATGCGTTCAAGTTCAAATCTGTCAGTCAACCCTTTGTCGTACATATACACCATCTTAGTAGAAGCGTCGCCTGATATCATACGCTCATCATAGTTCTTATTATTGTGTATTCCATTGTCTGTGACGGATCCAGGATAGCCTCTACTTATAATACATAAGTCGGTTCCCCCGATTGATATTACATTATATTTGTATGTTGGAGAGTTCTTATATTCGCAATAAAAAGAGCTTTGTGCATCGATATCACTGCCAGGCCTTTCAGTTCTCAATTCTACAGCATCGCCGATTGTGATACCGACACCTGGCTGCAAGTAAAGGGCATTTCGGGTTCTCTTGGTTTAAATTGTGCCGACTGCTCTGCTGTCGAAACGGCTGCCTCGCCTGGAATAACTTAACCCTACTACGCACGTGATATAAATCCTTTTTGCAGTACCATCAGATACACCAAAGTGTACACCTAATGCACTAAATGTGTCTCTGCTTCTTTTAAATGCGGATATGAATATCACTTAAATTGCCAAGTTGAAAGCGGAGATTTACGTCCCCACCCCTCCCTAGGACTGCCGTCTTCCGAGCTCTCGCCACTACCATTGTCTGGCAGTATCTCTTCGTCAACAATATCATGCTGCAGTTTTGTTCTACAATGTTTTCTAAGTTTATGGCACCAAAAGGTCCAGACGGATACCATAGTTTAGCTAGCTAATTTGTATGCGCAGCACATCTAATTTGGCTTCGCCTGTTGGCTCGAGACAAAATTCTGGCTTATTGAGAGCGTTCAGCCATTGCTTAGTACGTTCCACTACTGTGTAATTATAGGAGTGATCTTTGTAGGTGTTTTTGTTTGATTTTGTGAATGTGTTTGCGTGTCTCTCAGCGTCTTCATTATAAAGGAGTTATAGCGTCGTCAACCTGCTTTGGCTCAATTGTACGCCAGCTTATTTCAAAAGAGATTTCAATTCAAAGGGTCATTTCCTTACGTTCTACCGGACAAACACGTGGCGTAACATCTAGGCCAGAATCAAAGAGACTGATTTTCAAGTTATTTGTGCTCGTCATATTGTTTAAATCTCGGCACATCATTGTGTCGTAGACGATCGCGTTGCTCTGTGGTTTTACTGTACAGATCTCTGTAGAAATGTTGACTGGCGACTCGGGTAGTCTGACGCTTTCCTAGCGCGCGACGTCAACGTACCCGTTCTATAAGCTTTTTGCGCTCGCTGGTGTTGTAATATAACTGTCTATCCACAAACATGCTTGCTTAACACCGAATCAATTGTTCTCTTGTGTATTACCACAACATACTTCCTCACTGTTGGTGCATATACATTTCTGCCAAGGTTTGTGTACATGACTGGCTATTTTATCGAACTGGTAGTCTAGCTGCGAATTCCATTTCTTTGTTGGCATTGCAGGTATGAGATACAGTCGGGTGAGTAGTTGTGTTCCTCAATGTGTGAAGTAGAGATCGTCCATTGCAAAATGCTTCGAATTGAGTACAGTGTTATTTTGCTTGCCAAACTCAGCCTCTTCTATCCTTGTTGATCTGTTTAGGACTTAGTGCTAACAACCACTGTCGTGCCCTAAGTGTTTCTGATTCTACATTACCTATTGTGATTCTTCCCTTTGGAAGGGATAGTTTTAGGCTATATCCCGAGAAGCAACTTCTATCTCCGAAATCTCAACTTCCCTTCAATTTTCTCAGAACCACTCCAACGAATATGAAGCCGGATTTAGCCGCGAGATACTCTCCGCCAATACATTTAACTATGCTGCCGGATTGGATAGGAGAACCTTCATAGTGTAGCTGCACATAAATACATATGCCACACTCCAATCAGTAGAACCCAGATCAACAGGAACCGCTTGATTCACCTTGCTACTCACTACTTCCATAAAGTTTTGCTGCAAAATCACGTCCGAGTCTTAGTTGCTGGCTATATTGTCACCAGCACCGTTTGATATTCAGTGTCGATTGTAGTATGCTTTAACGTACTAGATCCCAATCCCAGATAAATTCATGCTTTCCTCCTCCATACTTATGCATTTTCGTATAAAACTCATGCCTTCCAACTGATGCGTCAGCTACTGACATCCTCTTAGTTCACAAATACATATTTTTATAAGTGAGTCTGCACGTCTATATTTAGTGTGCTCTGGTACGAGTATGTGCTCAACAAGTTTCTTTAAGGAAAACTGCGTTGCTAGCAGAAAACCCCTTAATTATTGCAATATTCAATAGACACGATGTAGATTCCACCAGATTGACAAACCACCATCTCTGCGCTGCATCTTTATACACACGTTGACTTTCCTTTACAGACCCAGTATATCCCAGTTGCAGTTGTAGATCCTTTTTTTTTCTGCAGGACAACAGTTCCCTATATTTGTTTATTAAGTTTTCTTTGATTCCAAGTCTAATTAACTTAAAAGTTAATTGCACTAACAGGTGTAATTAGCCTAACGAGTGCACTGCATTCGGCTTGCCATAGTTGCACCTAAATCAGGAATTTACATATGACATGTATCATCTAAAACCTATCGCACTTGGCTTCACTAAAATTTCACCTGAAAGCCCACAAAGTCCATGTACTCTTGCTCATGTGCGGTACATATTCTTCGAACAACCATTTACTCTAAATATGATCCCTAAAAAGGCCCTGTTTCTGTATACACCTTACAATCCAGGGATGGATTTATCATTCTCAGAACACTGTATCTATTTTGTAAGATGCAAGAGATGCAAAGTCCAGAAGCACTGAAGCAGACGAGCAGAAAGAATGTTTATTAATGTTTCTATATCACAGTTACCTGCTGATGTTGATCCACAGCCCGTACCCGTGCGTATCTTAAAGACGATAAATTGCTGACAACTGGCGTGCAAACAGATGCTTCAAGGTTAAAAGCATATATCGAGATATATTTTTTGAAGTTAGAACAACCTCATTTTAAGTCTTTACGAACTATCCAGACTACCTTTTAGTTAGTTTATTTAGATTGAGCATATTTTCAGCTTGGAACCGTCTGGAGGCTCGCGGGGGTTGGTATGATATTGCCTGAATGCTACCATGTGGGCGGTAGTCAGCTTGTTCATCATCGGGTTTTGTATCCGTGGCATTTAAACCGCTGCACATCGCAGAGTGCACAAGTTAAAATGCAGTAGAGCTTCATACACCTCGGTCAACTCCTCGCCTTTTCAATTCAAGGTACACATATCTATTCCTAAACTCATTGACCAGCAAGCAAGACTCTGAACCGCTCAATCAGAACACAACGGACGGCAGCCGAACACCTAAACCTACACAGCGTCCTGTTGCGACTCCCAACATCCAACTAGTGTTAATGGGGGCACTCCGCTCAGTGCTCCACCAATCCATTCAGCATCAGGCTACCGCTGCGATACTGCAAATGAATATGCGGCTGGCAGCCCACTCAGGCCACTAAAACAGCATCAGGCCACTAATGTTTACAAATAAAGTGCCAACTAAGTTACAGCGCAGACGCGCCATTAACGCCGTATGTACCCGCGCAATTATTCCGACGACCAGAGCCCTATGTAGGGTACTAGCAGTAGTGTGCAATTAGTGTTTCCACTATACCAATAGGCCACCCGCTACATACGCCCCCAGACAACCCCGCCGATGAGACGCATACGACTAATACAGCTGCTATAACTAATACAATTAGCACTACTCAACACGCAGCCACGCCGTTGACTCGGAAGGAGCCGTCGTTGTTGTTGAGGATAAGCGCGTCATGCACCGCCTCTAACGCACGCACGGCATTCTTCTTGTGGATCAGACACGAGACGTTGATCTCCGAGGCACCCTGGGAAATCATCTCAATGTTCACACCTGTGGTGTAGAGTGTGTCAGAGAAGGTTAGAAGACTGTAGACTGGGCTTGTTCTGTAGCGATAGGTATAGGCGTTCGGTTTTAGTCTACCTTTATATATAGTCACTCTGGTAAATTATCTCGACGCGCCCGCCTGATATGCGGAGCTTATCGGAAGGTTATACTATATACACAGAATACTGGGTTATTTCTGCAATGGTAGGTATATGCCTCTCGTTAATCTACCATCACATAGACAACAATACCATACAGCAATATAGCATCACACACCCCGAATAACGTATAGAATCCTTGCGAATAGCTTGTATATATACAATCCTGGTAGAAATATGCAGTTGAGTAGACATACCGATGCTGGCCAAAGTACCGAAGATACACCCAGAGATTCCAGGTTTGTTGCGCATATTCTTGCCCACAACCGTCAGAATGGCCATATCGGTCTTTGACACAACCTGTGATATATCAAAGCCAATGTGTGAGCCTTAAGACGAGCACACAAGCGACTGGCTGCTAGGAGTGAGGGTGATACGGGTACAACATGCTTCGATAGCATGTCCGCTACTTGATGTCTTGGAGAGAATCCGATTGTCTCCGCAGAGACACTACATGGGATTTATATAGATATTTATATACATAGGATGCATGCAGACATACACTAATCGTGCACAGGTAAGGGGCTACCATGAACACCCATAGCGCCAGCAGTGAAGGACGTTTGAATTGGTTTGAACCAAGAAGTGTACGGGATACTATAACAACCAGCAGTTATATATAAAGATATATATATTGCTCGTATATGTGAAGACATGAACAACCCAGTCCATAAGCATTACCGTATACGAATGTCATTGCCATTGATGTGTGTGAGTACCGACACATACGTACTGGCAATTACGTTGTCCGCAACAAATGCTCTGCGCGTGTATACGAGCGTGTGCCCGTGCAAATGTATATGCCTACATGTATGTGCGTGTGTACGTATACGTATTATATACACACAGCCATATGCATACGTATTATACACACTCAGCCATATGCATACGTAATATATACACACAGCCATATGCATACGTAATATATACACACAGCCATATGCATACCTAATATATACACACAGCCATATGCATACGTATTATAAACACACAGCCATACTATTTACGCAGGAAAACCACAAGAATATATAACACATACATACATAACCGTACACTCACATACACACACACCTCTCCGATGGCTGAAAGGTCCTTGATGGCCCCAGCAATAGCATCACCATCCACACACGCCAGTGACACACTAGTAGTGGCTGTAGACACCATGGACACCTCCACATTCGACTGTTCTAGGGTTGCAAACACCTGTGGAAGTGGGAAGTGGGCAGAGAAGGGGTGGGTGAATTAGATGAGATCGAGTTAAACTGCATGTACAGGTAAAGATTTTGTATACAAGTAAAGGCATATATAGCTATTTCTTGACAAAACATACCTCCGCGCGCACCCACCCACCTACCCACATATTATATTAGCATATTCATAATACAAACCTTGCAAGGAAACTGTGTCGCACTTCGCCGCGTAAGAGACTTGATATAAATGACTGTGATGTCGCTCCTGAGCTTCCACGAGACACATCTCTAAACACAAAACACGAACTTTATATCTAGATATATATATACGAAAATATAAACATCCATATACATACCTTGGAAGAAAACTGAGCCGCACTTTGCCGCGTAAGTGACTTGACATTGATTGCTGTGATGTCACTTTTGAGTGTAACCGCAGCAGCTGCGGGCACATGCGCATCTGGTGACAGTTCGTGTTGTGTACCGTCGCCAGACAAGCGAGGAGACGACTGTTTAGAGCCCGTGGGGCGGATAAGTAGTACCTGAAATAAGAGTATGTCGCGTAAACGTAGTAGTAATAATATATATATATATATATATATATATATATATATGTCGCCATAAAGACGCAGTGAGCACAGTTTTAAGCCCGGTGGTCAGAGAACACCCGAGTTCGATATGATTGCACCTTCACACAGAGTCGTATACGTGTCCTATATTTGCGTCCTTTTGCGGTGCGAGTTCGTAACAGAGAAGAGTATTCTGAGTTTATAGATTGGAAAAATGTACCTGTGTCCTACATTCTGGACAATCATCTAAACGTTCGATTCTACTTTATAGTTCATCTTTTCATCGTCTACTAAGCATATATATATACAAAAATTTATACATATATACACACGGCGGCGTGCCTTACCTGGATTTTGTGGTGCGAAGGTGTTCTTGATGCGGATTGGCACATTGGCCCGAACTACGTGTTCCATAGTGAAGGGATGGATTACTTCAGAACCAAACCAACTCAGCTCAGCTGCTTCCTCCGGAGCTGTGCATATATACATATTTGACGTAGATTACTATGAGTACAAATGAAGTATGATGAAATATCATTTATGAAGTTCACACAGACTGCTTGTTTCATATACGCATGGACACAACCCAGACAGATATACAAACACAAGGTCTGTACAGAAAGTAAACCTTTCTCGAGTGCTCCACACACAATCAGACAATTCGTACCATGTCGCAAATATAAATATATAAATATAAAGAACATACACACATACCCATAAGCGATAACAGTCGTGCCGATTTGACCTTCCTGGGATCGGCGGTGAATACCCCGTCGACCTCCTTCCACAGTTGCAGCTCCACCGCCTGTAGGTCTGCGGCTATCAGTGCGGCTGTCAGGTCTGTGTAGCCTCGGCCCACAGTGGTCAGCATACCCCCCGGAACCATGCCAAAGTATCCTGTATACAGCAGATTGGTACGCTATTATTAGTCCACTTTATAGGTTTTGTAGGGTTTTTAGACACAGAGTGATCGTGTACAAGACAGCATGCTTGGTGAATGGGTGTGGGTGGTATCGGCTTCAGATAAAATGTTATTGGTTTACGCTGCTAAACTATACGGTCGTTTGGTCTATTAAGAACAGAAGTGGGATAGGGGCTCTAAAAGTTCTCTAGTTGTTTAATAAGATATGCGGTGTAGATTGCTACATATTTACATACAGATACATAGGAACATAATTGCATCGATACATAAATGTATATATAAACACAAACAAGAAAACAAAAAACCAAACAAACAAACATATATATATATATATATGTTACCTGTGACTACTGGCACGGCTTCTCTAACGTGTTTCTGGCAAGCTTCACCCATCTTCTCGCGGATGATATCGTATAGATTGCTGTCTGATTCGGCCAGATCTCGAGGAAGTAGGTCTTCCAGGTTGACACACACAGCCGGGATGTTCTATAAATATATACAGTTTAAATAGCGAGCAATAAATTGACGACGCTCTGACCAATAGGAAGTGTAATACTATTCAACGCTGAAGCATTACAAATCAAATACACAAGCAAGGATCAACTACACAAACTATAGCAAGTTGTAATAAGAAGTTGTACTTGTACTACATACTCAAGCAGGGGCGAACCCGTACAGTGAATATGTTGTAGTGTTGAAGGTAGTTACCTGACTTTTCAGCACAGCAGTCATGATTTTAGCTGACAGGATCTCACCCAGACCCATCACCACATCCACAGACCGAGACGACAACTCACCGATGACCTGCAGGAAACAAAGGGTTATTATAAGCAAGTATTAAGAGATATATACATGCTTACATACATACATTTGGGTATTAAATATATATGTAGCCATATATATATATATGTCAATAGAATATATGGATAACGACGCTATCAACTGCCAACTGCATCGCAACATACACCGATAGACCCGATTTAAGCCGATACATGCACTATACCGTACAGGTTTCCTAATTAAACACGTGCTTACACAGCTTTCATACAAACACAATCCCATTACCTATTTGGATTTCAATCTTCCATACACACAACCCCGTTCTCGAAATTAAACAATATTCCATACAAACATAAACCGCATTCCCGTTTTAAATTCGATCTTCTAACAAACACAATCCTGTTCTCGAATAAAAATGTAATCAGCATTATCATTACAGTGGCAGAATATAGCAATAGACTACTAATCATATGGCGCACACACATAACCAATATATATATGTATATATATATCACACTACTATTTATAAGCACATACACACAAATAACCACACATTACTACTTCATCAGCACATACACACACATACAACCACACACTACTATTTTAACAGCACACACACATAACCACACACTACAATTTCAGCAGCACACACACAGATAACTACACACTCCTAATTTATCAGCACATGCACACATATATAACCAAACACTACTATTTTAACAGCACACACACACATAACCACACACTACAATTTCAGCAGCACACACACAGATAACTACACACTCCTAATTTATCAGCACATGTACACAAATATAACCACACACTACAATATCATCAGCACACACACACATAACCACACACTACAATATCATCAGCACACACACACATATAACTACACACTACTATTTCATCAGCACATACACACATAACCACAAACTACTACTTCATCAGCACACACACAAACATAACCGCACACTACTATTTTGTCAGCACATACACATACATATAACAACACAATACTATTTTATCAGCACATACACACACATATAACCACACACTACTATTTTATCAGCACATACACACACATA